ATATCCCCTCTGGGCTTAAAATGGTGATTCATTCTCCAAGCAGAGGTCGAGTTTGTTCTCCCTTTTGCTTAATTCCCCAAAGAAGTCACTAGAGCAGTTATTCTCCCCTGCAGGTTAGGTTTGATTTAGAGACTGCAATTCTCCATCCTCAGTAGAGACAGTTTGGGATAGTTTCCCAGTAAATCTTATTCGGTTGTCCCCACTGAGTGATTCCTGGCAGTCGGAGGTAATCTACAGTCGAAGTTGATTCCCCAGCTGAGTAAGTCCCGACAGATTGGATTTTTGATCTTCAGCAGAGCGGAGTTACTCCCGTGTGAGTATTTGTGAAGGACTTCGGTGTTATACAAAGCCATTCAGGGCCGATCTCCCTGGCGAAGCAAAGTTAATCTCAGTGGTTGATTGTTATCCCCTGCAAAGTCGTTGATTTCCTCGATAGGTTGGATTCAATTCCACCAATTGGTTGTCTTTCCTCGGTCGTATTGTTTATTCCCCAGAAGAGTTGTATTCTGGAAGGCCATTCAGGGCGTTATCCTCAGCAGGTTTTGATTTGATCCCTAGCAGAGTGGCTTCCCATTCTTGTCAGAGTGATGTTACGTAGGAAAGTTCTTTTCTAGAAGGCCATCCAGGGCTTGTTTTCCCAGCTTAAGTCCAATCGTAATTGGCATGTTCCGCCTCGCCCAACGGAGTTTGTTGTCTCTTCAGCATTTATTTTGCTGATTCGTTTCTATTGCACTCAGCATTCATGCATAGCATCCCCAGAAACGCATAGCATTTCCATTTCGTATGGAGCATTACGCCATATTCAAACATATGCATGTGAAACATAAGCCAGATTGTTACCTTTTTGTTTTCATATGTATTTCCAACAGATGGTTGATTTATTTTGCCTGTATGGTATCCAGACCATGGCAGTTTTTGTCGTTATATTCTTGAGCCCATACAGGTATCCAGACCTCGGCAGAATCTTCTGATAGATGTGGTCATCTTATCATGTGCTTCCTGACAGAGTTGCTTGTTTAAGTTTCTCTTTCCCCAGCGGAGGTTTCTTGTGAATTGTTGTTAGATTCACTTATCAACTGCGTGTTGAGCCGGCCTTCGGGTTCGACGCTCGCTTTTATGTAGTGAATGCCTACTGGTTAGTAGAGATGTTTTCAACTTTATGTTGAGCCGATTTTCGGGTTCGATGCTCGCTTTTATTTAGAGAATGCCTACTAGTTAGTAGAGATGTTTTCAACTTCGTGTTGAGCCGACTTTCGGGTTCGATGCTCGCTTTTATTTAGAGAATGCCTACTGGTTAGTAGAAATTGTCAACTTCGTGTTGATCCGGCCTTCGGGTTCGATGCCTGTTTTTATTTAACAGATGCCTAGCGGCAATGTCAGACATTCTTCTCAATTTCGTGTTGAGCTGGCCTTCGGGTTCGATGCCTGTTTTTATTTAACAAATGCCTGGCGGCGATGTCAGATATTATTCTCAACTGCGAGTTGAGCCGGCCTTCGGGTTCGATGCCTGTTTTGTTCATACAGATGCCTGATGATGAAATCAGAGGATCTTTCCGACTTAGTGTCATTTCTTGCGTGTTAGCATATGTTCTTCCGATTGTGTGTCGATGCTTTCTAATTGGTGATCAGTTAGTTTGTTGCCGTTACAACTATCAGATTCAGTTATTTCCGGAGATATTTGTTCCAGTAACATTTTGTAGTTCTATTTTTGCGGTTGGCAAATTTTCGGGATCTTTGGTATTCAACCGTCTTTTACCGTGATTGTTTGAAAGTCGTTCGCTTTTCACCCAATCAGGTCCAAGTCGCTTGAATAAGGGCAGCTGTTGTACCCCAAAATTTGACCAACCGTTTCATGTACTTGGCTTATGTCTTCTTTTCATTTTGCATTTTTTTGCATAGCATAGCATTTTTTCTTGAGACAGGGGATCAAGGTTTTTTCTGTGGCTCAGGTCTCTTTTTAGTGCAGGAGTCTAAACAGCGAGCATCGGCTTCGGCATTTATTTTGTCCAGCGTTCGAGCGGTCGATTTTATTTTATTTTGCAGGATATTTTTAGACCAAAAAGCAACATTCAGGCTATCTCAAGCATTTTCATGATTATAGTATTCAAGAGCAAGTTTCAGAGACTGAACAGGGCTTAAAACGATTGAAAATGGGCAAATGTGCAGATTTTCCTCCAAAAGGCGCCAAAATTCAAATTTTTAAAGGTGTTAACCGATTAACCAAATGGTTAACCGATTAACCAAGTTAAAATCAGGTCAAATTTGAATTTTTGAAGGTGTTAATCAATTAATCCATATGATTAACCGATTAACCAAGGCAGATTTCAGCTCTGCACGTAAGTTTTCAATAGAGGTCACTTTGGGGGTCCATTTTGATCACTTGAGAAATTGATTTTACACCAAAGGAAGGATCTAGAACCACTTTAAATTTTGATTAGTTTTCAAATTAATTCAAATTCCCTCCAAATTCCCATTCCTAATCTCATTCCAATTTTCATAACCACACTCCAAACCACCACTCTACTCCTAACTTAGAGCATAATTAAGTAATTTGCTCCAAACCTCACACACACAATCCTCATAATTCCATTTCATTTTCAGAATTCACTCACTCTTTGAATTTTGCTCTCAACTTTTCCATTTCCCAAACTTCACTAAAAGCTTTTCTCACCTTGAACTCTTTGATTCTCCACTGGAATCATTGAACTCTAGAGCTAAAACCTTCATCCTTCATCCTTATCATTTCCAATTCTCCATTCAAATTTCGTGCTATTGTGGATCTGAATTTTGAAGTTGATATAGAGGAGCTTATTTGGATTATTTTGTCTTAATTTTGGTGGATCTTCATTTCTACTACAAGAACTCACTTGGATCTTGAAGAATTTCCGGATTTCTTGCTTGGATCTACTCATTTCAAGTGAATCAATATTCACCAAAGCAAATCTCCGCTTTGTAGGTTGGAAATTCTAGATCTGATTCTGTTTTGAGCTTATTTTGCATATTCATCATGTTGATCTTCATTTTCGATTGATTTTGGTTGATTCGATCCATGAGATTTATGATCTTGCTGTTTGGATGTGTTTACATGTTGATTGGATCATTGGTTTCTGGTTTAAATTTGTGCATAATCGATTATGTGATCATCTGGATTATTGGAGAAGTGATTATTTGCTGAAAAGTGCTTTTGAGCTGCTGTTTTCTGCCTCTGGTACAATGTTAATCGATTAACCAGATGCAGTGCAAACTGGTTAATCGATTAACCAGTGCTAATATTAAAATTTTCAAACATTTTCAACTGGTTAATTGGTTAACCCCTGGTGTTAACCGATTAACACTGTGCCAGCAGGCTTGTTTTGCTGTTTTTCAAGGTTGTTTTGGTGTCATTTCACTTCAAGTTCTCATGGATCAGTATGATGCATTAGGAGTGAGATGTTTTGGATATTGTGTTGCTGTTCGTGATTGTTTAATCATGATTTATTCGACCCACATTGTTCGATTTCCACTTGAAGGCATACTTTTGTAGTTGTTGTTCAAAGTGATGAGTGTTCATATTTTGTTTTGCTTGAGTTTGAAGAATTATTTGGTTGAGATGTGCTTGTGGTGGCTGCTGTCCCATACTTTTTCCTCCCACTTTTCTTCGGTGATTGATGGTCGATGGTCGTAGGAGCTCGCTTTTCCCATTTCATCTCACTTTTGCTTGGACTTGTTTAAGTTCTTTTGCTTGCATTTCTCTATTTTTTTGCATCTCTTTGCTTGCATTTCTCTATTGTTTTGCATCTCTTTGCTTATATTTAAGAGGTTGAGATGTGCTTGTGGTGGTTGTTGTCCCACACTTTTTTCCTCCCTCTTAACTTTGTGTTGCATTTCATGATTGCATCATTTTCTTACTTTTCATTTGTGATTGATTTATCTTGTACTTACTTAGTTTTCTTTGCCATGATCCCTTAGGATTCCTAGTCCCTATGGGAGTAGGAGAGATATTAAGTGTTGAATCCAAGCATGTTAACATCAGGATAGGATTTCCCTTCTCAATCTCAATCTTAGGAGCATATTGCATGATAACATTAGGGTTGAGTTTAGTTTCCCCTTAGTTGTGTCTTCTCTCTTCTCATCTCAAAACTTGTTCAAAACATCTAATAAAGGATAATAAGTGTTGTACACTACGAGCCTTAAGAACTTGGGAAATGATGATTGGGAGGCCTCCTCTCATACCGTCTAGAGTGTTTAGCATATGTCCTTTGGATGATATGCGACACATTCGCTCCTAAGTCATAGTCTTTAGTGCAACATGAATTACAAACACAATTCAATTCACTTCTTCATAAAAGACTTAAAAACAAATATCAAACTTTTTTATCCTTCAGGATTAATTGAAAACCATTTTCAGAAAGAGTGTTGTTAACTCTTGGTTCTACCGCAAATCTCTTTTCTTTTCTTTTATCCCTGTGGCCTGTAGCTTAGATAGATTAACACCATTTAGATAGATAACAAGCGTGGATTCCGTTGAGTAGGGGTGTGCATGGATTATAAACCAAACCAAACTAAACCACATATATGGTTTGGTTTGGATCTTAAAACCATTTATATAAAACCGGTTTATTTTTTAAAAACCGGTTTACAAGTGGATCGGTTCGGTTTCAAACCGGTTTTTTTAAAAAAATAGTTTTTTTAAAAACCAGTTTTAAACCGGTTTCTCTCAAAACCCGTTTTTTATTTTCTTTAAAGAAATTAATTTTAAAACCAACTTTATAAAAAAAACCAATTTTGAAATCAATTTTATTGCAAACTATCAAATAATTGATAAATCACCTGAAACATTTTAATTCTATATTTTGTATTAAGAAATGAAAATGTTCAAGCACGAGTATTTGGCACTACAGAAAAATTGATTATTACATATATGGAAAATCCATATAGAAATTCATCTGGTCCAAGTTGTACATGTGATATGAATGTCATTTCCACCTCCCATCCTCTTCACACTAGTTGAATAAAAATTTCTACTCACCATCTTTGAATGCAACAGAGGTTGAAGATGTTGAACAACTAACACCATCTTCTGTATAAACTAATTCTACAAAACATATAAAGAAATTTCATTATGCCTCAAGTATAATAAATAATAATACATTAGGAAATATAGTTAGTTATTATACCTTGCTCAAATCTCTCAAAAGTATCAAAATCTTCATTTTTAATCAAGGATGAAGATGTTCCTTTGAGCCAATCCTGGGTGCAAATCATTGTTGTAGGTGTTAACGAGCTGTGATATGGATCAAGCACTCTTTCTCCTGTACTGAATGCAGATTCAGACGCCACTATGCTTATAGGTATAGCCAGCACGTCTCTTGCAATGTTTGCAAGGATGGGATATTGGCCAGAGTTAACTTTCCACCACTCTAAAACATTTATCTCCATGTTATGCTCCAACTTCTCTCCAAGATAAGTACTTAATTCATTATTTGCATTGTCACACCCTTCTAAAAGATAGAACTCAGCAATTCCATAGGGATGACTAACACTACCAAAAACTTGCGGCTCATCTGAATTACCTTGAGAAGACATAAATCCAGCATAATATTCTTCATAAATAGATTTCAACTAGAAATCTAAGTTTGCTTTCAAGGCATCGACATCATCCTTATTGTAGTACCGCCTTACCATCCAATCAACCAATTTAATCTTGCGCCTAGGGTCGAAAACTAGAGCAATCAACAAAATCATATTAAGCTTCTCATGAGATCCCCAATACTTATCATACTTTTTCTTCATCTTTTGAGCTGCTGGACGTAGATGTTCATCTTCTGACGCACACATATCCGCAATGCTCTTTCCAATACCCAGGACCTCAAACATATAAATATTGCTTGTCAAATAAGATGATCCTGATATGTGTATTGTAGCATCATAAAACAACTTCAAGAATGCAATGATTAAGTTGATATGCTTCCAATCATCTTTTGTCGGGACACCTTTTCCCTTCTTTGTCAACTCATTCACATACCTAGCACAACATAAAATGTTTAACATAAATTGAATTATGAGTATTTAACACAACCATCATTGATATCTTAGCTTAACACACAGTCCCTTTAAACAGAACAAAGATCCCAACAAAATACAGAAATTTATCTATAGTAGATATCTTAGCAACTTTGTTAAAGAAAATACAAATTTATCTATAGTAGATAACAAGTCTGTTATTGAATTTTCTTTTTCTACTGCTCTTGTTATAAGTGCTCCTATTGACTTTCAAGTCGAACACAGCAGAAGAAAAAAATTACTTTCTATTGCTTCTGAAAAATATTTCTGCTGACTGGTCCAATCATCGGCTTGAAAGTAAATTTTCTTTATTAGCCATTATCTATGATGAGTTAACTTTCTAGATTTTGTTGCCATAACATTCGCAATTGGGTAATCATGTTTTGCAGCAAGACACACTTGAAAATACAGTAAACCAGAGAAAGAAATACATGCATCCATTTCACTGCCTAGTTTACAAGGTAATGGAGCTAAATTCATCATGTGGCGGTATTTATCTTGTTAGTGAGGCCTATATTATTATAAATGTATATTTTAGGGTATTAAAATCCAAGCAAAAACAAATTGAATGCATATGAACATAATAAAATGTAAAAAATTATAGTGCATTCTCTTTAATCTCGAAAACCTTTTATCTCGAAACAAACATATAAGTTCTAAACAAACATAACAGAGGCATATGATGTTTCAGGTAGTATAAGTTCTAAACAAACATAAACAAAATAAAGTTTCACGTACCTTTTATCTGGAAAACCTAATTCTTCAAAGGTTCTTTCATGTTTTGATGCGGATACTAACCTCAAATAAGTTGAATTCCTACGAGTCTCAACATCTAGAGAAACTAAACCTTTACAGTCCATGCTCTCCTCATCAATATATGCCTTGAATTTAGCAAGCCTCACCGGAGAAGATCTAGCATACCAAACAACATGACGAACTCTATAAAAAGAATTATCAATGTCTTTCAAACCTTCTTTCACAATTAGATTTAATATGTGCCTCCACCTATTATACGCTTGGACCATTTTCTTGCACAAATAGGACAACAGAAACCACCCATAAGCCATGTGAACTTGTACAACTCTCACTAACCTTCATATTTTTCAAATTTGTGTAAAATCACCAAATGAGTTTTAACCACAGTGAATCACTTCTTAACCACACCATAACTTCACATAAATACTCAAGAAACCTAACAAGCAGGACTAGATGCATTCACACACAAAATAAAATGAAAAAACTCTCATCCTCTCTCAAAATTAGGACTCTTTCGAATCTCATTTTTCAAGGACCCTCCTTTCATTTCCTCCATTCATTCACCCTCCCTGAAGGTTTGTGGATCATTTGTGAAGTTTAGTGAATATTTTTACGCAGGAACAGAAGCTACAAAGAGCTCTCTTAGGTAACAATTTCTCTAACTTGTCTCCTTCTCTTTAATGCTTGTTTGAGTTTATGATTGTTGTATTTGAACTTCTGGGTTCATATAGAATAAGTTTGAGTTGTTGTTGTTTTGTTTTGAGAAGTTTCTATAATGCGTGTTTGAATTTCGTGGTCAGTTTTTGTGGGGTTAGAGGTTTTAAAAGTGGAAAGTAACATCAAAAATGGAGTTTACATGAAAAAACGAGGGGAGAGGGATCTTGCTTTTTGAGTTTGGTGATGTTTTGCAGCCAACTCATGCGGTCGTCGCCAGAGCTAAGGCTCCGGCGTATGGCTTTGACTTCCTCGTCTGCGTGTCGTTTGACCCAGGACTTTTGCTCATTTGGCGCCTAGTCAGGGCCACATCAATTAATGAGGTGCCCATGTGGCACCCCTTTTTTGTTTGTTTTCTGAAATGTTTTTTTATGAACTTAGGCCTAACAAATTTACTTCTCACACCCCCTTGCTTCCAGCCCACTAACGCGCATAACCTTTTCCTTCTTCATTATGGGTTTTTAATACACCCTCCCCTTTCACTTTATGTTTTTTTTATTTTATTATCCTTTCATTTTCCCTTTTGATTTTTTTTTAGTTTTTACTTTATATTAAAAAATCATAAAAATATTTTTTAGACACATTAATATCTCAAGTATTTTATTTTATTTTTATTTTTATTTATAAAATTATTTTCTTATTTTATTTCTAATTATTTTTAGAGATGGTTTTACCAAACTAACCCTAAACTAGGGTTTTATTTCTTGATGTTTTAAACACTTTTTATTGAGTCAATATTTTTGCAATCTTTTGACATGATGTGATGACGTTTGAGTGTGTTGGTGAAATTTGGTGATGCTAACTTTTTTGCTTTTCATTTGATTTTGTGTCCCTAGATTCATGCCCAACTAGTAACATACCATAACCTTATTGGTTAATTTTGTGTAAGATTTTGTGCTTTTATTTTAGAGATATTTTAAACACACATACTTGAATGTATGTCCATGAGGAAAAGCCTTTTATTTGAATTTATTTGGCCCTTTTACCATTTTTCATTAATGCCTCAAGTTAGGGTTAGTTTTGAACATGATCATGCTTTATTTTGACCTAGTTTTTGAACATTGCTTCTTGTGTGGGTTCTTTTAATGCTTGTTGATCTTGAATGACTTTAAAAACCATGTTTGAGCTTTTGATTCCCATTGTCTCAATATCATTTTCTTGCTCATTTTTCTCATCCATTTGCATGATATGTTTTGCTTCCTTCCATAAATAACTTTGATGATACATGCTTAGTTCTTTGCCCATGTCTTGAGTATGATTCTTGATTGAGTTTTCTTTTACATCTTGGTGTTATTCATGACTTTAAATGCTTTGTTTTTCTACTGGCCCATCTTGGTTCCATGCTTTAACTTCCATTTTTGAATCATCTTTGATATATTTCTTATGAACTTGAGGTGATAAGTGTGTGACTATTGTTTTGATACATGATTGATTCTATTATGCTCTATTCTTATTTATTTGAGTGTGCTAGATATAATGTGATGTAGCTATTGAATTTCATGGATTCTTACCCTACTTGGTTCATTTGGTACTTGTGTTGATGTTTAGTTGTTACTTTAAGACACACATGTTTGCACTACTTTGTTTGCCTTCATCTCTAACATGTTGTGTGTCTTATTGGTGACTTGATGTTTTGCTCCTTGATTTGGTTTGGTTGCTCTAGAATTTTCCTTAGCACATGTTTATTTTCATTCATGATATTGGATTTACCTTAAAGTCCTCATTCTTTGTGCTTCACTAATGTTATTGGCTTTTGCCTAAATTCAAGGGAAGGGTTTATGGTTGACTATATAGTCATGTGAATTGCATTTCTCTTTTGCATCTTCCACCCATTGTATGATCATTGTTAACCTTTAGGTTGATTATCTTAGATTGTATATACTTAGATTGTTTATCCTTTTTTATAGTTACCATTAGGATTTTTCAACTTTAGATAACTTACAGTTACGTTCCCATCTCCCAAGAGAGAATTATACACTAGTCATCCTTAGTTGAGATGTAATTCTCCTACCCCATGACATAGTTGAAAAAGATGTAGATTATTTTCCACTTGAGAGAGGTATGTGTCATACTCGTTGATTCTATATCCGAGTTGGAGCCCTTCTCTTAATGTGAAGTAAATATCCATCTTCCACAAGTTCGTGGTGGTTTAGTTAAATATCCTTCTTAAGATGATAACTTGTCTTTTCTCCTAAAACCAACCAACAAACGTTGCTTTTACCCGTAGTTAGCCAAACTATGATTGCTTTGACTTCCTATACATGATATGTAGGCATTGGATTGCGATGATCGTAGCGATCTACCTTTTTCTTTTTTTTTTTACTTTACCCATATTTTCACTTTTAGCAAACAATTAAAAAATAATACAACTTAACAAGAGGTTCCTGTAGAGTACTACAGATACTTAGGGTGCTAATACATTCCCTTAGTATAACCAACCCTCAAATCTTAGATTCTCTTTATTGCATTACATCACATGTTTATGGTTTTATTCGTTCTTTTTCCTTTCCCTTGGATAAATTAAAGACCGGTGGTGATATCTATGTTTTGTAAAGCCTAGATAACTCAATAGCTATGGTCTCCGATTCTCACCGCGACATTAGGATGTTAATCGATGTTGATGAAGGTATAATGAAGGTGAAAACAAATGATGAGGAAGTGTGTTTCACCCTTTTCAAAAGGGTGGTGTATTCGAATCAATTGGAGGAAAATTTTCAAGTGAAAAAAGGTGATGCAAGAATTGCGGAAAAGAAAAAGAAAAACAAAGACACAAAGGTTGCCTCAAAGAAAAATAAGGAAGAAAGATACAATCTTGAAGAGGTATTTACGAAGACGGATGAAGAGGCCAAGGAGGCTTTGATGAAGTCATGTTGGGACTTTTCTTTCTTAAAGAAAAGTGGACCATGAACAGGTCATGATAATGGTTGAGGACTTTGGTGGTAGAGTGTTCTTCTCAAAAGCTAATCCAATCGCTTTTAGTTCGAGATTTCAAACCTCCGAACCGTCAAGCTCAAACGATGTTAAACAAAGCGCCTGTTAGGAGGCACCCCAACATTGTGAGTATTTCTGTTTTTCTTACTGCATTTTATTAGTATGTTATGGTGAAAGAGTGTTGTAATAAACCACAAGTAGAAAAACCAGAAATTAGTTTGGATGGCAATGATAGTATTTGATCATGTAAATGCTAGAAAGGTACATTATTACCTCTTTCTAGGATGATATAATGTGTAAGAATTTTATTCTTTATACAAATGTAATTTTGTTTCATTTTGCAACTTAGTTTTAATGCTTGTACCACTTAGGTTCCAATAGCCACAAATTTGTGAGAAACCTCCATTGTTTACTAAATACATAGGATGATTGATAAATCTTGTTAAATACATTTGATTCATACTTAATCTTGCGGTTATTTTGATTTTGTGGAAGCATTAGATATGATCAAGGCATTTGTTGATAATGAGCACAACTATATCCAAAAGTAACTTATCCGTGAGTAGTGAGAATTTACTAACCCCTCTGAGCTTAATAGTTTAGATCCTAGTTTAGTGATGAACTTGGTATTTGTACATAATATGAAAGATAGTTCATCATTGAATTGTGTAGGGTTCTAAAAAAAATTTTCTTGAACCTTTGGAATTTTTCTAAATTATCTTCCTTGCCATAAAAAGCAAGGAATATTTACTTAAGGTTTGGTTGAATTTAAGTTGGGGAGAGTGAAAAGAAAGTGGTAGGTTACTCAAAATTTTTGAAAAATTTCAAACAAACATTGAAAAGAAAATTGTGTATATGAATTATGAAAAACAAAAAGAAAAATCATGCTTGTTTGAATAATAAAAAAAATTAATAATGTGCGTAAAGGGTGTTGGAAGGGTGAGCAATAGAGAAAAGAAATTGTTGGATGAAATTGTAATGTCTACATAACCTTGTATAGTGAATGTTTCTTTTGCATTGTCAACTTTGAATCCATGGCCTTATAAATGTCCCTTTGTTATGAACATAATCAAGCTACAACCTTTAAAGACCTTAGTGATCTTCTTGCTTCCATGAATTCTTTGATGATCAATTTATATGAATGTATGAATTGGATTTTATTTGCATCATTTGTCAGGTGAGTGAAATTGTCTCGTGGTTGCAAACACGTTAATTTCTTCAATTCTTATTCAAAGAGGAGTGTTAGAGTGATTCAAGCATGAGAATTTAGTTGTTATTTGAAGCATTGCATAATATTTGTTTAAGAAGTAAATTCTTTTGCATTTTTCGATTTTAGGTAGTAGTGAACATTGCTTGTGTGCATTTATTTGTTTATTTAAGTTATAAATCCATTCTTGGTTGAATTAAATACTCAAGAAAATTTTCTTGTTTTTAATGAGAGGCATACTTTTCTTAAGGATAAGCAAAGATCTAGTTGGAGAGAGTTTGTTGAATGTCAAACTTTTCTTTAAAGTGATCCTTATTTATTGGCATTTTTCAACTCTTTTGTTATGTTTTGTTGGATTTACTCCATGTTATCATGCTATTGTTCAATATTGTTGAAAATACCTTTGGTTGCTTTAGT